ACTTCGTCTCGATTTCTTCCACCATCTTCCATCGCGAGTTCCGAATTTTTAACGATTGTCACCGATCCCCTGTGCTTCGAATTACCGATCGGCTGGGATCCTCGATTATTCGAAGCCTCGTACCGATTTCCTCCATTCGGAAGGAATCGGACTGAATTTTCGCCCAATTTCGTGATCGATTCGCCATGTTTCGAATTATGGAATTGGCTCGAACCTTCTCCGTATCGATCGCTTCCGTTCTCTTCCGCCAATCCTGAACTCTTCCCCACCGTCATCGATCCCCTGTGCTTAGAATCGCCGATCGACTGGAACTCGCGACCGTTCGAGGCCTCGTACCCTCCTTTCCCCCCATCCTCCTTCGTGCCCAAACTTTTGTGGACCACGGCCTCCGTGCTCGATTGGCTCTGTTTCAAATCTCCCTCCTTCCCCGTCGCTTTTCCACGCGTCAACGCCCGATCTCGTCCAACCCCCAACGTCGTTACGTCCACCAGCTCGCCAACGATCACCTCGAGAAACGAGCTCGTCGACGTTTCCAATCGCTTCCCATCGTAGCACCTGTCCTGTCCTTTTTTCACCTGGGTCGTGGTGGTGGGAAGATGGGCCGGCTCGCCTTTCCTCGACTCGTTACTCACCGTTTCCTTATTTGCAACCGGTTTCTTCGACAATATTATTTGGATTCCGCTCCGCGTGTCGTACAAAGTTCCGAACTCGATTGTCTCGTTGCCAGGTAGACACGAGTGAGACGCGTTTGCACGGAGCGGAGCCTCGCCCCTCGCCGGCTGGCCTCGTGCCACCGAATTATCCTCCCTGCACCCGCTCTCGCTCTGAAACCTGTTGCAAGATTTGTTCGAAGCGGCTCCGTAGCTCGACTTGGCCTTGCCGCTGCAACTTGCCGCCGGCTGCCCCGACAAATCCTGTCTCTCGAACGTCGAATTGCAGGAACAACAGAAACCCTGCAACCGTTTCGCCCCGGATTATCCTCGATATAAGAGGGAGGAGGGACGTTTTACTCGTACGCGGATAAATCGAGGGAGAAATCGAAGTGAATCGTTAAATATTCAGAGTTCTTCTTCTCGGATTTCTGAATCTAATTGATCGATGATTATTAACGCGTATATGATCGTATTGAAATGTATCTCGTTTGGAGTAACATACGAATAAACGTAAATCCCTTAACGGAGAAAAGATATTCCTCGCCAAGCTTTCGTATTTGTTACCGATTTATCGAGCAATATTAATCAGAGAAATCGGCGCTTATTTTCTACGCTTATTATTCTAACGTGGATGATAAAATCGATGGAGGATAAAAGAGTGCCGTTTACCTCACTGAACGGAACAGGTTTCCCGTGTATGAAGGATCGGCCGCAAGTGGGATGCTCGGTAACGCTGCACCCCGTGAAATTCGGGCTCCGGTTGTTAATCACCTCTTCCCTCGCCTCTGCGTTAACAACCTTGTTCAAAGCCGCGCGATCAATAAGATTGCCCGCGAGATCTCGTCGACTAGCTCCGCTAGCAGCAGTTACCAACGATCGGTAAAATGAACGCCCCGCGAAAACTCGTTGGATAAAGTGTGTCATTTATCGGGATCCGATAATAAGGATCGAGGGAAATTTTTCGCGAAATCCGAGGGTAACCGGCCAGCAGAGTCGTCGACCGATGATGGAAAGTTTGATTTCTTTTTTTTTTTTTCCTTTCTTTCTTTCTCTCTCTCCTCTCTCACGAGGAGAAAGATTTCTCCTCGTATGAGATACTCACACTTTGAAATTTCAACCCGTAAAACTGCAGTATAGTATCTTGGCGAACTTTGATCACGTAGGGATTTTGGAGGGGGATCTTTTCCATCGTGAACGGGTCCAGCACATGATCGATCACTACGAATTTCTCCTCGATCTCGGTCTGCCAATTTTTTTCCCTTGTTATTCGTGGGAATGTAAGGAAGAGAGGGGAAATGTTAAATCTGTAGGAATCAGAACCTTGCCGATATTGTTGAACCTCATGCTGATAATGATCTTCCGCGTGCAGTTTCTCATCGTCACTGGATTCTGTTCCTCGTCGTATCTACGTTTTCGACGAACGTGAACGCCTTGCCTCGTTCTACGAAATCGGTTCCCAACGATAATCGAACAATCAGATCTCTCTCCCTTTCTCTCTAGAGAGAACTTACTTCTCGTTTTGAAGGAGGGGGCAGTGCGAGAGCACAGCCCTGATCTCGATCAACGGTCGATCCCATTCGTCCGTGTCTTCTCTGATTTGCCTGTCACTGATGAACCGGGACGGGCAATCGGGATTTCTGGAAGGGTGAAGCCGAGGAACGTACTCGAATTCGGACACGTATGGTGTACGTGTCGCGCTCATTCTGCCATAAGAGACGAGTGTCATCTGCGGATACACGGATCACACGTGAGAGCGAAGAAAATGGATTATTGGGCGAAACGGGTCTCGTCGTATTTTCGCGTATTTTCTCGGGAAAATTTCCGATTTCCGCCCTTACCCAGAGGATCAGGAGATGCGAGATAGCCGGTGACATGTTAGGTCATCTGTCATGGAACTCATCCTCGGGTACAGGCGTGCGGCCTCGAATTTTCCCTCATGTAAGAAATTTCGTGAACGCGAATTTGAATGTGAAATAGGATTTATATATTTCGGTTGCCCTCTGGACACTGATACTTTCTGACAGGTTTCGATTATGCTTTTTTCTAGGATATTCTGTGGGGTTAGAAGCAGAGGAACGTCGAGACACTCGTCTGTTTCCTCATCGAACTCGCCGCAAACTTTGAAACCACTTTGATCTGTATTCAAGTGTTATACGCGTTCTAAATCCTCCATTTTCATTGGATACTCTTTCCAATTATCGTATAAATTTTAATGCTATACGATACATTCGTTATTTCGCGTATAACGAGGAGAAGAACGAAACTGTATAGCCTCGAATTTTCTAATACGTTTTTTTCTTTTTTCTCTCTCTCTCTCTTTTCTCTTTTACATTCGAATTCGCAATTCTTTCGAATTCCAGATATCGTTTCCACGACGGAATATCGTAGAGCGGCGTTCGATTCTGAAAATTTTGTTTTTTAAATTTTTCCCATGTCCCGCACCATACAACGAAGTTGTATTCGAAAAACAAAAAAGCACTAAAAATTTTATTTCATTTTCTCGAAGTGGGATAGATTTCGATAGATTGGAAAAAATTCGTATCCATACATCGTTTAAAAATATTTCATCGAAAAGAATGTTGCAACGATAATACAATGTGTAATACAACTTTTATCAAGAAACGTGTATAAACTCTTTTTGGGGGAATTGATGTGACGCACACTTGTATATAAACCATATTTATTTGCCATACGAGTTTTCAGCCATTTTACATTTACAATAACGTGACTTTATGCTTTCGATTCGAGCGAGGGATCCGAGCGCGCCGTTTCGAGCCCTCCTCGCCACATTCTTCCACAATCTCTTATCGAAGAGAACGTGTTATATCACAATCGATCCCATCGAGGAGGAGACGAACGCTTCCTCGAACGATCCCTCGAATTGCTTAAGTAACGCTTAAGAATATCACAGATCGCGATTCTTGCGTAAACGCACTACAAAATTGTAACAACCTTCGCTACCCTTTGGCCCGCGACAATCCAATTTCCCTTTGTTCGTGGCGGCCACGATTCGGAATTGCGAGCGCATCCACATTCTTTCCACTCTTCTTTCAAGGGGGAGAATTAAGAGCGTCGCGACCAACAGCTCACCGATAACGTTTCCAGAAAATAAGAGAAAGGATCGGGGTGACGTAACAACAATCACGTTTCACAATGAAAGAAAATTGCGCGCGAGCGAAACGAATATTGCGAAAGATGTGTTTTTTGTGCAAGGAATACAGGTTTATTTAGGGATTCGTTCAACGTTGTGAAACATTGTTTTTTATTTATTTTTTTTTTTTTTTACGAAAGAATCGTTCGACATGTTGCAATTCGTCGACTCTTATCTTAACTTGACAGCGTGATGAACAATTGTCACTCCGAGATTAATTAATATCGGAGCGAAAAGAGGGAGACGGATGTCAGAAATCGTGGGACTGGTCAAAAGTTGAGGTGAAAGTCGAGTGAGCTGTTCGTCGAGCTGGATCGGCCAAGAGTCAACTGAAACCCGTTTTTTTTCTCTCTCTTTTTTTTCCTTCCTTTCTTTTCTTTTCTTCTCTCTCTCTCTCT